CTTCCCCGAGGTTCTTTTTTTTTTTTTTTGATTCTGATTAAGTGATTACATAATTTCCGGAAATTCACAGTATTGTGGAATAATGATGCTCATTTAAAGTCACAAGTTCATTCTAACTTTCCTGGAGCAAATTGTCTATCACAGTCTGTAATATATAACGAACGGTGTTCACATGTTATATACTCTATATGTGCTCAGCAGCATGGGGATATTTAGTAGTGGTTCAACCAGATGAGTGGGAGTTCTTTGTTTCTTAAGTCCTGTTAGTTTTGTCATATCACCTAACATTTTGGATTTAGCATCCACTTATCAGGGAGACCATGTACCGTTTGTCTCTTCGTTCTTGGCTTACCTCGCTCAACATGATTCCTTCTAGCTCCATCCATTTCCCTGCAAATGCCATTATTTTGTCATTTCTAATGGCTGCATAATATTCCATTGTGTATAGATACCACAATTTTTGGATCCATTCATCTGTGGTGGGGCATCTAGGTTGTTTCCATATCCTAGCTATTGTGAACAGTGCTGCAATAAACATGGAGGTGCATGTGTCCTTGTATATTGGTTCCTGTTGTTCAGGGTAGATGCCTAGAAGTGGTATGACTGGGTCGTAAGCGAGGTCAATCTTTAGCTTTCTAAGGACCCTCCAGACTGCTTTCCAAAGTGGTTGTATAAGTGTACATTCCCACCAGCAGTGTAATAGGGTTCCTCTTTCTCCACATCCCCTCCAGCATTTGTCGTTGGTTGATTTGTGGATGTGGGACATTCTGACTGGGGTAAGGTGGTATCTCAGGGTTGTCTTTATTTGCATTTCCTTCACCACCAGGGATGAAGAACATTTTGGTGCTCTACCTTTTGAGCCACAGTTCTACTTCTGGCTTTTTGGTGGTTACTTGAAGGTAAAAGTCTCATGGACTTTCCTGACTGGGCCACCTTGGGACCATGAGCCTTGATTACAGGCATGAGTCATTAGCGCCCTGCTGGGCCTTGTTATTATTTTAATTCTGCCTCCAAATTTCCTCATTAGGGCACCCTGGTAAACACCTAAAATGGTGGTGGTTAATGCCACACCTTGTTCTTACTCTGTCTTTCCAAATGCATGTTAGGTTCAATGCCTACTTCCAGTTGGAAGCAGTTGGAAGCCTGAATAAGCATCTTTAAACCCATCTGACAGCCAGGTGCTCAAAAATGTACAGTACTTAAAGCAGGGCTATGGATGTAGCTCAGTAGCAAAGCTAACATTCGAGAGGCCCTGGATTCAACCATTAGTGTTATAAGAACAATGTATTGCAAAGCCATAAAGAAAACCCATAAACACCCTAATGACTATCCTCTGAGGCTATTTCTAAGCTGGAGGTGGGCACAAGACATTTATGCACTCCTTTTGTGGTATTCTGGTAGATATGCTGATAGGTGTGATAAACCACACCAAAAACCCTTAGGCCAGGCATCAGTGGCTTACTCTGGTAATTCTATTCAAGAGGCTGAGATCTGATGATCAGATGTTCAAAACCAGCCCATACAGGAAAGTTTAAGAAAACTTTTTTTTTTTTTTTTTTTTTTTTTGTCAGTCGTGGGGCTTGAACTCTGGATCTGGGTGCTGTCACCAGCTTTTCAGCTCAAGGTGAGTGCTCTACCACTTGAGCCACAGCTCTACTTTCGGTTTTCTGGTGTTTAATTGGAGATAATAGTCTCACAGACTTTCCTGCCCGGCTGGCTTGGAGCCACGATCCTCAGATCTCAGCCTCCTGAGTAGCTAGGATGACAAGTGTGAGCCACCAGCACCTGGTCTAAGAAATCCTTACTTCCAATTAATCTCCAACAAAAGCTGGGAGCATGCGTGTGTGCATATGGTTTTGGAAGGGCTAGTGATCAAATCTAGAGGCTTGCAGCAAACGGAACATATACCCTACCACTGAGCTACATGCCTTTCATCCCATCTAGATCTAGGAGAACTCATCCACCTACATTCCCTGAAGAGCCTTCTGTATTTATCTGACATCTCATTGCCCCAGGTCCCTCATTCTACCTTGAGTTTCCTGTCTGGCTACAGACCTTCCTTCACAGAGTATTTGCTTAAGTGACTAGTGGTTTTCACATACAGATAGAATCAGTAATTCAGATGGGTCATAGGATACTGTGCACATGCACCTCCCTTCAGTTCTCAGGTCCAGCTGCAGATGTCCTGCAGTGTGTGGCATTTTTATGGCCTTAGTCACTCACTTCCCCTCCCTGAACACCAGCGAGACCCCTGTCTGACATAACCCACTGCAATGCAATTGCCCAACCTATTGTAAGTGAGCTATAACTAGATGCCAGTAGCAAGTTAAATGCTCTAGTGCTGACTGCAGGCAAATGAGAATCCCCGGGCTGTAACAAAGCTTCAGGGATCACAGATACAGAGAGGACATTGGCAGCCTACGTGTGAATATTGGAAAGGATTTGAAGGCCTCTCTACTAGTCACTAACATTTGAACTACAATATGAAGCCAAAATGCTGGCTCAGAATTCAGTGTGAAAGCCTCCAGGAATCTTGCAATAGCAGCTGTCTGAGATGAGCTTTGGTATTTGGTTTCTTTCTACATCAACTGGTCCCAGACCTAAGTCGTAAGAGTCAAGCTGTCCTATCTTTATCTCTCTAACCATTTCAATGTAAAATAAAAGATTGTTTGGAGCCCTTCCAGGGCCACACCTTAGAAATACTCTGAAAAATAAGAGCTTTTAAGTGTCTGATTTCTTACAGTTCTCATTGGGAAATTTTGGCTGCTAGTTTAGCTAGCTGCTGAGTCATGGGGCAGACAAAAAAAGTCATATATGACTCGTAAAATACATATCTGCTTGGGAAATTCTTCATACTCTTTAATGAAACATTTTACAATTTCCTGTTGCTTCTTTGCTAAATTTAATACTCAAAATCTTGCTTCTTAGTCAATGAAAAGCTTATGCCATGGATTCAATAGGCCTTGGCTTTTACCCAGTGCCATGGAAACCTAAGCCAGGAACTCCAGGGAAGAAAAATGCTCAGGGTTAAGACATGCAGGTTTTCTGTAGCTGATCAGAAGATATAGCCACCAATGAACCTCTTTGTGCATGGTGATATGAGAAATATAGACATAAGTGACATTGTTGTAGCTCTCAGATTTACAGATCAGGCAGAATAGTGACCTAATGCAAAAATGTAACAGAAAATGATCATCTCAGAGTGCCCCCTCTCCCCCCAGGGTAGCAGAGCTGATTTTTTTTTCATTGTTTTGAGAAAGGGCTTTGCTTTTTTGCTTTTTTTTTTTTTTCCCTTTTCTTTCCTCTTCTTCTTCTTCTTCTTTTTTTTTTTTTTGCCAGGCCTCAGGCTTGAACTCAGGGCCTAGACACTGTCCCCAGCTTCTTTTGCTCAAGGCTAGCACTCTACCACTTAGGCTACAGCACCACTTCTGACTTGTTCTGTTTATTTGGTACTGAGGAACCAAGCCCAGCCCTTCATGCATGCTAGGCAAGCACTTTACCACTTACCCACATTCCCAGCCCCACGGTTTTGCTTTTGTAGCCCAGGATATCTCAAACTCAAGATCCAGGGCTAATTAAAAAAAAAAAATGTTATTATACAGGTGATGTACAGAGGGGTTACAGTTACATAAACCAGATAATGAGTACATATCTCCTTTTTTTTTTTTGTCAGTCATGGGGCCTGAACTCTGGACCTGGATGCTGTCCCTCAGCTCTTCAGCTCAAGGCTGGCATTCTACCACTTGATCCACAGCACCACTTCTGGCTTTCCTGCTTATGTGATGCTGAGGAATCAAACCCAGGGCCTCATACATGCAAGGCAAGCACTCTACCACTGAGCCACCTTCCCAGCCCAGTGAGTACATTGCGTCTTAAACAATGTCACCCCCCTTCCCTTGTTCTCTCCCAGTTTTCCTCCTGGGCTAATTTTTTATGGTTACCACCAGTTCTTTCTTGATCAAAAAGATAAAACGGTCACCACACTTTGCTGATTTTCATTTGCTGAACTACTATGGAATATCACCTATCTTGACCCTGGAGAAATCCTTCAGGCCTATGCAAAATTCAATCCCAAACCATTTTAGGTAAAGTTCACAAGCATCTGGGTGAGTGTCCTAGGAAAGAAAAGGAGAGTTATAAAATCTTTGAAGATAGAATGGAAAAAGTGTCGCTGGGGAAGCAACTGAGCATGTCCAGGCCCGCGGGAAAAGCTAAGTTAGTGGGCAGGGACTGGAGAGATGGAATTTTTCTTAGCATTTGTGGGAGTCCAGGGCTGAATTTCAAGCACCGAATGAAAGTATTAGGTGAATCATGGAAAGTGAATCTTCCTTTGACCCTCTCGGTTCATACCGCATGGCCGGCCACGGAAAGGAGAAAAGGACGCGGTCACCTTGGCGGGAGGCTCCCCTGGATCGGGGCCTGCTGGCACTGCGCGCAGGCGCACATGGCTCTAGGCCCCCACGCGGGAGTGGGGCCTGCGCAGTGCTGCTCTAAGGCGGCACAACTCGGGGGCTTCCCGCCGGGCGGGGGCCGCGGGAGGGCGGGGCACGGGAGGGCGGAGCCACAGGAGGGCCCTGCCGCGGAGGTCGTCCGCAAGGAAGGTCGCGGCCGTACGTGCGGCGCCCGGGCGACGCCGAGTGCGTGCAGGACTGGCAGTACGTGACAGAACCCCGAGCTCTCATGCCCGCCGCGCTGACCCGCCCCTCCCCGGGGTTCCGGCTCCGCAGACCCTCCGCTCCACCCCGGTGTCCCAGTGACAAGTTCTTTCGCATCCCGACCCAGCAACTGGGGTGTCGGGCCCCCAAGCATGTCAGCCCCTCTTCACCGAATCATCACCCCCGCCATGCCTGCAGGCGTAAGCGGCAGCCACAACCCCGCTTCTCCAAGGGAGGGGCCCGAATGACGGTTCTCCGGGCCAATAGCGAGGCGGCGCGGGGAGGGCGGGACCAGGAGGCGGGAAGTGGGCGTGGCCTCTCGAGCTGGGCAGGAAGTTCGGGGGAGGAAGCGCCCAGAGCGGCTCGAGGACTTGGGGCGTTCGCATCTCGCGGCTCTCTCTGCTCTGTGTCGGCTGCACTCCCGCTGCACCCCCTCCCCTCTTCTTTCCGGGTCGAAAGAATCCACACACCAGGTACGGCTCCGAGAGGGGCGAGTGTGTGGGGACTTTCCGGCTCGGGGGTTCTCCTTCCCTTCGGAAAAGGCGCGGGGTTGGCGAGGGGGCCCGAGGGCACGTGCGGGGCGGGCCGACCTCGTCCTGCCGGGGCGCGGGTGGGGCCCCGCGAGCCCCTCCGCGGGCCGGGGCCGGCTGCAGGGCGCGGGCGGCGGCAGGCGCACCTGTGGGGCGTTGGGCTCCTGGGACGGGAGGATGCAGATCAACATGTGATTCCGGACCTCTGGGGCGGAGAAGCTGGGCTCTCAAGGTCAGGGGCGGCGGGAGCGAGGCTCGGATCGGAGTCGTGGTGAGGAACGGAAGGCCTCGGGGAGACCGATCGTGGTCATTAAAACCGGGCCCTTCCAACATGGAGGAAGGGGCCGAGGGAAAAGATGCCCAGCAGGCTGCCGTCCCCTCCCCCCCACGTGGCGGCCGGCGACTGGGTTGGTCCAGCCCGTCGCTGATCCGGGATAAGCGGTGACCAGTTTAACTGGTGCTTAGGCCTGAGGAAAGTGCCGCCGAGCCGCCGGATAATTGGGAAGCCCTCGGGAGACCTCGCCCGAGTTAGGCAAGAGCCGCTGCGGGCTTCCTGGCCTGCCGCCCGCAGCCCCCGAGCTGACGTCGGATGTATTTGAGAAAGCTTCCTGTTCGCTCTGCCCTTCCCTCTAGGTAGTGTGGTCCCCTGATAAAATGCTTTCCAGGCATGGAATTTTCCAAAACTCAGAGTTTAGTAAAATTTCAGAGCCGAGGAAGATGTTTAAATATGTGTACCTTTTGGAATATAGTAAAGCACTATGAAACGCTCTTGACTAATAAAGTTTCATTGTTAAAGAGACAATAAAACCTCAAGTGGACTCAGGATTTGGGGGGGAGGGAAAGATGGGGCTCCTGAGCTTTTGATCTCACGGGTGAAGTACCGCTGAAGTCACAACTCTTCCGCTGGTTAATTGGAGATAAGAGTTAGATTTGTCTGCCCAGATGGGCTTTGAGCCGGGACTTTAATATCGGAAGTTAAGAGAATGCCCCATTTGCTACTTAAGAATGTGTTAGGAAAGATGGTCAGAGCAGAGACCAGTTAGGTAATTCCCCTTGGTGCTAATTTCCTTCCTAGCCACTTGATTTCTCTCAAGTTCTTCACCCATTTTCCTTTGTGGAGAACCCCAAGGAAGAAAAGTAAGAGGACTTTCTTTGAGGACTTATTTGTTTCTTCTATACATCCTTTTCCCTCCCCCACCTCAGGTCTTTCTCGGCCTCTTTGTTTAAAGAAAAAGTCTTCCTTCTATTTAAAAGTTATAATATTTCATCCCTAAAATGTTAAAACCAGTTAAAATGGCTTTTGAAAGGAATCCTAATGAGAAATAATCACATCTCCTATCCTGCTCAAATACTATGGTTTACTTAAGACATTCTTGGTATGTACTCTAGGCTGGCCTCAAACTCTTGATTCTTCTGCCTTTGCTTCTTGAAGCCTGAATTTAGTGGAGTGCGCCACCATGCTGTGCCTCACTACACTGTGCCTCGTGCTGTGAATTTTGAGAGACTCAGAAAATGGCGGTAGCAATGACCAGTCCTGACCTCCAATCTCAGAATTGCTGATTATCAAATATTTGCCCATCCAACATGCTACTGCTACCTCAGGCTTCATTTGGTGAATTAAATCCCAAACTTCAATCATAATTGCTCTAAAAGCCAGATTTCTCCCTTTTTTTGCCCTACTCAGCGCCTTCATTACTGGTGACAGTGACCCATATCGGAGCCCTTCTGCACGTTAGCAACCCACCACTTTCCAGTTGTATTCGTTTTCTCCTAGGTGTATACATTTTCAGCTTTTTGTTGTTTTATTTCTTTATATAGCCGATCTGAAAAGTGTGGGCCAAAGGCCCTCCAGAGTTGGTCCCAGTTTGTTTCCTATCCTCATCCAAGAGCTAACCTAGCCCCTTGTATGCATGACAAGCATACTACAGAACTGTGTTCCTAGCCTACATGTATTCTTTTTTTTTGGGGGGGGGGGTCCGTTCATGGGGCCTGAACTCAGGGCCTGGGTGCTGTTCCTCACCTCTTCAGCTCAAGGGTAGCACTCTACCACTTGAGCCACCTTCCCAGCCCCTACTTGTATTCTTCAGAGCAGTGCTGGGATCTAACCCCAGGCTCTGAGTAGGCCAGGCAAGCACTCTCCTGCTGCTGAGCCTTGCATCCTTAGTTCCCAGTTCCCCAGGCTATTTTGTCAGAGGCAGGCTTTCTACCAAGCAGCCTTTATGTGGATGGTAGCCCGCTGCATGAATATGCAAATACCGAGTTATAGTTTAAATAAGGAAGAAACTCTGTTTTCCCCACAGAAAGTCACCATGTCTATTTTGAAGATCCATGCCAGAGAGATCTTTGACTCTCGTGGGAATCCCACCGTGGAGGTTGATCTCTACACCTCCAAAGGTAAGTGCCACACGCTTTCCCACGCTTGCTTCTGTTTGACCTGGGTCTACACATGCTCATGGGCTGTGACTCCTAGAGGGAGAGGACAGTGCTCGTCTTGCTTCTGCTTCATAATTAAAACAGAATGTGATGTGGCTTTCCTGTCAGTGAAGCAGGGAAGTAAGGTGACTCCTTGAGACCTTGTCCCTAAAAGGGCTCATCGCTAGTTCTTGGCTACATAGCTTTCTCTGACCAAATAAGCAGCGATAGGGTATCCTTTGCTCTTGACAAGGAAAGGTGAAGAGGGACGGACAGGCAAGTGTGATTAGAATACCCTTCATCTTTGTCTCTGGTCTCTTGAATGGAGGATCTGGGAGGTTACTTTTGCTTTGCACTCAGGGACAATCCAAAGCCTCTTAACCAGCTCATTCTCTGTGCCCATCCTCCACAGAGAAGAGTTCTCCCATGTAAAAGCGTTACCTGGTGAGCTTCTCAGAGCTTTTACTTTAGCTAGGTGCGCGTGAGTAGCTTGTGCCTGAACCCCTAGCTGCTCAAGTGGCTGAGGGAGAAAAAGCTTTAAGAAGAGGCCCTAAGCTTCTGCCCTCCTCATTTACCTCCCACAGTTTTCTCTTTTAGAAGTGAACATAGTAGGTACTGTTGGAAAGGACTCCCAAGCAGAAGGGCTAGTCCTGGATCTGCTGGTCGGAGCTGAGTCACTGTCTGAGTTACAGGCTGGCACTGGAACATAGCCCTTCCCTTCCTGTCTGTCCCTCTCCCCCCCCCCCCCCCCCCCCCCACCAAAAGGCAGAGTCTCGTCTTTGTTACCACAAGGCTGCCCATGTTTCTGCTTTCCTTTGGCGAGGCACTGGGCGGGTGGGGCGCCTACTTCTCCTGGGCATGTGCATTACAGTGAATTCTTAGTCTACTCAGGCTGTGTGCCAGGATGTGCTGTTCTGTGCTAGGTGGCATAGGTTTGGCCCTATAGCTGGTTCCTGTGTTTGCAGGACTGTGATTAGTGTTCGTTTTCATTCATTCCCTTTTTTTGGGGGGGGGGGGGGTTCTGGTTGTGGGGCCTGAACTCTGGGCCTGGGTGCTGGCCTTCAGCTCAAGGCTAGCACTCTACCACTTGAGCCACAGCACCACTTCCGGCTTTTTTCTTTTTGCTTATATGGTGCTGAGGAATCGAACCCAGGGCCTCAGGCATGCAAGGCAAGTGTTCTACCACTGAGCCACCTTCTCAGCCCTTCATTCCTTTTTGACGTCTGTTCTGTTTTGTACTTTGCAATTGGGTAGAGAATCCCAAAACAACACTCATCACTATCCAGATGGAAGCTTAAGATGTTTTTCATAGAGCCAACTAGTTTCCAGTTGCTACTTTTTTACCTCAGGTAGGAATCAGAGCACCTTCAGTCTCCTACCTGGTTTTTGCTAGGCAGTGCCACCTAGTGACAGAACTCCTGGGAGAGGTGATCTGTAAATCTTTCTTGCTGGTCCTAGGGTTTGAACTCGGAGCATTTCTGCTCAAGGCTAGCACTCTACCATTTTGAACCACAGAGCCACTTCCGGTTTTTTTATGGTTAATTAGACATGAGAGTCTTACAGACTTTTCCTCCCTGGGCTGACTTTGAACTGTGATCCTCAGATCTCAGCCTCTTGAGCAGCTAAGATTGCAGGCATGAGCCGCAGTACCTGGCTTGTAAATCAGTTTTCTTGGTCAGTCCTGGGGCTTGAAGTCAGGCCTGAGCACTGTGAGCTGTTTGCTCAAGGCTAGCACTCTGCTGCTTGATCCACAGTGCCTTTGCTGGCTTTTTCTGTTTACATGGTACTGAGGAATCAAACTCAGGGCTTCATACATGCTAGCCAAGCACTCTACCACTAAGCCACATTCTCAACCCCAAGTCATTTTTCTTTAAACCTGAGAGATCACTTGTGCTGGAGTCTGCACTGCAGAATCACTAAAATGAGAGGGTGGAGGAAGGATGTGACTCGGCTAGTGTTGCCACCCACGTGCCATCTGGGGGTGGGGGGGCTTGGGCTGCACTCTGCTCACCACGTTTCCCCTCTCCTACAGGTCTCTTCCGTGCTGCTGTGCCCAGTGGTGCCTCTACTGGTATCTACGAGGCCCTGGAGCTCCGAGACAATGATAAGACTCGCTACTTGGGGAAGGGTAAGGTTTGGAGGAAAGTAGGACCACCCTCTCCTGCCCTTTTCCAGATCCCAGCACCCTAATAGTGGTACTTTATTTCAGGTTTCACTCCCAGTATCAGTGAGTACTATACTCAAGACTGGTGTTTTGCCACGTGAGCCTCAGCTCCAGTTCTGGCTTTTTTTTTTTTGTCGGTCATGGGGCTTGAACTCTGGGCCCGGGCGCTGTACCTCAGCTCTTCAGCTCAAGGCAAGCGCTCTACCACTTGAGCTACAGCGCCACTTCCAGTTTTCTGGTGGTTTATTGGAGATAGGAGTCTCATCGTCTCTCCTGCCCGGGCTGGCTTTGAACCGCGATCCTCAGATCTCAGCCTCCTGAGTAGCTAGGATTACAGGCGTGAGCCACCAGCGCCCAGCTTTAGTTCTGGCTTTTTGATGATTTATTCATTCACATACTTTACTACCTGGGCTGGCTTTGAACCTTGATCCTCAGATCTCAGCCTCCTGAGTAGCTGGGATTACAGGCATGAGCCACTAGTGACAGGCTGCAGTTTATTTCTAATGTGAAAGATTCCGCCTTGTTAGGCCAGGGTGCCTAAGCATGAGAGAAGGAGCTATAAAAATTGCATAGTCAAAGCCGGACGCCGTGGCTCACGCCTGTGATCCTCACTACTTGATGCTGAGATCTGAGGATCACAATTCAAAGCCAGCCCGGGCAAGGAAAGTCAAGTCCGTGAAACTCTTATCTCCAATAAACTACTAGAAAACCGGACAGGGCACTATGGCTCAAGCAGTAGAGTGCTCGCCTTGAGCTGAAGAGCTGAGGGACAGCACCCAAGCCCCAAAGTTCCAAGTCCCATGACCAACCAAAAAAAAAAAAATTACACAGTCAGGTGTCCCGTGCTCTGGGGTAACAAGGTGTATAAGGAAGGCCCAGCTAAGGCTGTGCTCCGAGGAGGCCTCAGTGACTAGAAAGTCACTTTGCTTTCCTATTGACTGGTTCTCAGGAGCACTGCTTTGTTGAAGTAGCCCCTCCCTCCCTGGCAGCTGTGTGTGGATTCATTTGTTAGCCTTTGTGCACTCTTCCCCTTGCCAGAAAAGAAACCTGTGTGGCCCGGTGCTGACAGGATGTAGGGCTGGCCCCGCCTTTTCCCAGGGGCAGCAACCCTCCCCCAGTGCATTGCTTCTCTCCTGGGAGGGCAAAAGTCTCCTGCTATAGCCATGAACACATGCACAGCGCATGCACATCCCGATCCTGACACAGGAGGGGCAGCCAGGGCCAGGTTTGAGCAAGAGCTGTCAGGAGTGCTGGCCCCACATGTTGGAGCTGTGGGTTCTGTGCGGTCAGACAGTGCACAGGCCTCAGGCCAGCCTTTGTCCCTGCAATGCCTCCTGTTCCACCCTCTGTCCTCCATGTCCTTGAACCCTGTTCTCTTCTCAGTCTCTTTTTCTTTCCTTCTCTGTCCACGTCTACTGGACAGGTGTCTCCAGGCCCGTTAAATATGTTAATGAGTTCCTGGCACCAGCCTTGTGTACACAGGTAAACACTGCATCCTGCGGGGTGAGGCTGATGTGCTCAGTGCATGGTCTTGACACTAATCTCCCTCATGCGGTCCTGAGCTGGTTGCTCCTTGTGTGGCTCTAACCCCTAGGGAAGAGCACTCAGACTGGGCCAGCAAGTCCCATTGTGGAGGGAAAGCAGTGGATGGAGGAGCTAAAAAAAAAAAAAACCCTCTGGAGGGGTTTGGAGGGACTCAGACTCTGGCACCATCTTTTTAGTGTTCTATCAATGCTGCTCAAGCCTGCACATTCCAGTTACTGTCAGTAATTTGATTTGATTGTTCCTTCTAGGTGTTTCACAGGCTGTTGAGCACATCAATAAAACTATTGCACCTGCCCTGGTTAGCAAGGTAGGACGCCCCCTCCTGATAACTAATGTGTATCCATGCTCCCAGGGCCTTTGCCACCCACAGAAGAGCTTATTCTGAGAGCCAGCCGTGCAGATTGGATTCCTTGCTGTGCATGAGAGCCGCATATGCATGAGCCCCATCTAACCTGGCTCCTGCCTCTGTCCATTTCTGTAGCACCTGGAATGGTTTTTCTGATACTGTTGTGTTTTGGGAAATTATGGCCCACAGTTTAAGGACAGCTCTATGGGGTGTGGAGGTACGGGCCATGATTCATTTTTCATGAACTTCAGAAAGCTTTATGTTTTACTAACGTTGTTTCTAACAATGGAAATGTCGTTAATGTGAAACCTTGTTTGAGTGGCTGTAGCTCAACAGTAGAACATATGTTTCACATTCAAACCCCAAGTTCCATCCCTGTACTCCCCCTTTTAATTTTTTTATACCAGTTCTGGAGTTTGAACTCAGCTTGCTGATGTCCCTGAGCCATTTGGCTCCAGGCAGAAGCTCTACCATTTGAAGTACAGCTCCTGGCTTCATACCGTGATCTTCAGATCTCAGCCTCTTGAGTAGCTAGGATTATAGACGCGGGCCACTGGCCGCGCCTACACCAAACATCTTACTAAAACTTAATTCATCAAACAGAAAAGTAGAGCTGCTATAGATAAATTCAGGCCAAAACCTCTTTTATCCTTCCACAATCTCCACAGAGTTCCCGGGGGAAGGTTGTAAGCCCTGTCCAGGGCGCTCTCAATTCCCATCCGTCCAGCCTCATGGGTTCACGCATCTAATCCCTCTTGCTTTGCATTGGCCGTGGGAAATGAGGGGCTCCTTTGTCAAGTCCCCCCTTGTTTATTTGGGCCTGGCCTTTATGGCATCCTCTAATTGCTCCCTGCCCAACTGGTCCCCAGAGGTAATTAATTCCTCGTCAACACAATGCCCGGCTGCCCCGCTGTTGGTCTCCTGGCACACCACACACCTAGTCCTTTGTCCCCTCGTGCCCTCACTGGCATGACTGCGGCAGAAAGCTGAGCTCCTGTGCTAGGCAGCTGTTTCGTTTTCTCAATGACGCCTTGTCAAAAGTGACAGGTGCCAGGTTGTTAACATGGCATGAGGTTGTAGATCATTTTCCTTTGGCATTTTATGACAGAACTGGGAGGCTTTTAAAATAATGCCAGTGTTGACTAAAAAAGATATTTTGAACCCCCCCCCCCCCCCCCCAAGAATTCTAGACACCAGCATTACTAGCTTCTGCCAATATCCATGTTCAAGCCGCAGGCATTATACTAAGCAATTCTGGACTGCCTGCAAGGGGGGCCTGACCTGCGCAGGGAGGTGGCTTGTCCTGGGTCAGAGTCATGAGAGGTGGCCTAAGAGCCAGCCCTTGTGGGCCCAGCTCCTGAGTAGACGGTGAGCACTGTTAGACCCGTGGCGCGACCAGTCAGCCTGTGCCGGACAAGCATGGCCTGTGTGGCGGGAACCTTGGAAGTGAGTCACAGGCAGTTTCATTTTTTATTTCCCACTTGGTGGGGGATGCATACTGGAACTCAAACCCAGGGCCTTGTGCGTGCTCAGCACGGCCTCTGCCACACAGCTCACGCCCAGTCTCCTTTTGGCCCATAAAACAAATAGAGCACAGTCAGTTTTGACTTTGCACAGTTCCAAAGTTCTTCTGCTACAATGACAGGAGGGCTGGGCTCGCCCCGTGGCCTAGTGCTCACCCTTCCCCTTCCTCTCCCCTCTCCCCTCTAGAAACTGAATGTGGTGGAGCAGGAGAAGATCGACAAACTCATGATCGAGATGGACGGCACTGAGAACAAATGTGAGTGGCTTGCTGGGGGAGACATTTTAGAGAACTTCCCATCTGAGGTTCTGGAGTCTTCAACAGGAACCCAGTGTGACAGTCTGGCCTTTCCTGCTTCTGTACCCCAGCAGGAGAGGTCTCGGAGCAGGGGGATTGAATAGCAGTGGCCTTACAATACCTAAGGCAGGGCAGCACGGAGCCCCCACTGTGCTCCCTGACTTGTGAGGTCAACAACAGGCGGAAGACCTCTCACGGCAGCCTGAGATGGGGTGCAGCCCAACTGTCTCCATTCATTCAAACTCATCTCGTTCCATTCTAGCTAAGTTTGGTGCCAATGCCATCCTGGGCGTGTCCCTTGCTGTCTGCAAGGCTGGTGCGGTGGAGAAAGGGGTGCCGCTGTACCGCCACATCGCTGACTTGGCGGGCAACACCCAGGTCATCCTGCCAGTCCCGGTGAGTGGCTCCTTGGGACTCCATGAGCAAGAAGGTGCTGAGGGGGTCCACTTCCTCTGGAACCAGAGCCCCTCCATGCCTGCACCTCCTCGCTGTGATCTGCAGCTCTGGAGGCCTGCTGCCTGCTGAGTGCTCCTTGACCGGTGACTTGACCTTCTTGTCTTACCTCCCTTGATTTGATTTGTGATGGGCAGCCAATGTATTTCTTGCTCAGAATTGCAGTTCTAAGATACAGCCCGCCCCCCCCCCCCGGCCCCATAGACACTCCCCAGCCCCCCAAATCAAGTGTGCTGTTGCATGTTTCCCCTGTGCTTCCCCAGGCTTTCAATGTGATCAACGGGGGGTCTCACGCCGGTAACAAGCTGGCCATGCAGGAGTTCATGATCCTTCCCGTGGGGGCCTCGAGCTTCAGGGAGGCCATGCGCATCGGGGCGGAGGTGTACCACAACCTGAAGAACGTCATCAAAGATAAATACGGGAAAGACGCCACCAATGTGGGCGACGAGGGCGGCTTCGCCCCTAACATCCTGGAGAACAAGGAAGGTAAAGACATGAGGGGCTGCGGCAGGCACGGCCTGGGGCCACCGCTGCAGGGCAGCCGCCAGCCTGGCGACGCCGCGCGGCTTCCCCATCTGCAGACAAACATGGTACATGCCAGTCAGAAGGGCCAGCAGTTGAAGGCCGGCCAGCCTGGCCTACAACAGAGGGAATCTCTCTCTACCTAAACAGCAATCTCTTCATTTCTAAGTGGCCTGGTGTGGAGGTGGTTTATTCCATGGCATTCTTGCCTTGGCAGAGTAGATTTGAGGTGTGTACAGAATACACCTGGTATTCAAGACTATGTTAAGTATTTGATGCATTCAACTGCAGTTCAATGTTGAGATAAGGTACCACCATTACTCTGCCATGCTGGCCTTCAGCTCTTGGCCTCAAGCAGTCCTGTCGTACAGGCATATACCAACACACTTGGCCACTAACTACATACAGTAGTTGTTCAAATAGGCTTTTTGGCTTTGACTCAAGGCGTGTGAGAAGCCTGTGGATGGTATGGAAAGGTTTCCACATAAATGGCTCATTGCTGACGACCGGAGGTGGCCGTGCGTGAGCGTGAGTGTGTTTGTGTTGCCTGCAAGGACAGTTAGCGAGGAAAGCGTCTGTCCTCATTTATGTTTTTGTCCCAGGCCTGGGGCTTCAACTCAGGTCCTGGATACTGTCCCTGTTTCTTTTGCTCAAGGGTAGTACTTGACCACTTGGGCCACAGTTCTACTTGCGGCTTTTTTGAGTAGTTTATTGGAAGTGGGAGTCCCATAGGTTTTGTTACCCAGTGGGCTTCAAATTGTAATCTTCAGATCTTTGCCTCCTGAGTGGTTAGATTCTGCCGGCAGGCATCCTTGCCCAGCCCATCTGGGTATTTGAATGAACCTGATGAGATTTTTGACTTGTATGAAATGGAATTTCCCCTGGTTTAACCTAATAGCTTATAGCGCTGACTAGGTCAAAGAGCCAAGTGTCTGGAGTCAGCTGTCCGGGTCGGGTGGAGCTGGGCCGGGCCCCGAGCACCACACAGCCAGGATGCCAGTCTAAGCTGATTCCACCAGACAAATGATTGCGTCTCGCTGCGGCTGTGTCTGGGCACTGAACTGAACGTCCCACCATCGAAAGAGCTGTGTGCTTAGGATCAACCCTGACATTTAAAAAAATAAAAAGCTCCTAGCATTCTCACAGCCCGTGACTGGGCCAGAGAATTTGCTTTTTCTGTTATACCCTCACCTGCCAGCTGTTCGTAGGAAATCCCACTTCCACCCACTGTCACCCACACTCGTTGCCCTGTCTTTTTCCAGCCCTGGAGCTGCTCAAGACCGCGATCGGAAAGGCTGGCTACACCGATAAGGTTGTCATTGGCATGGACGTGGCTGCTTCTGAGTTCTTCCGCTCTGGGAAGTATGACCTGGACTTCAAGTCTCCGGATGATCCCAGCAGATACATCATGCCTGACGAGCTGGCTGACCTGTACAAGTCCTTCATCAAGGACTACCCGGGTGAGAGCTCCTGCCACCACCGGCCTCCAGGGGCTTTGCCGCTGGCTGCCCGTCCCCCGCCACCCCCAGTAACTCAGCTCCCCATGGGACGATCCCACCCAGGCTCAGCTTTGGTATAAAGCAGAGCCCTATTTCAAAGTAAACTACTGGACTGGGGATGTGGCTGAATGGTAGAGTTCTTACTTCGCATGCATGAAGCCCTGGGTTCGATTCCTCAATACTATATACACAGAAAAGGCAAGAAGTGGCGCTCTTTGTGGTTCAAGTGGTAGAGTGCCAGCCTTGAACAAAAGAAACTTCAGAGACAGATCTCAGGCCCAGAGTTCAAGCCCCAGGACTGGCAAAAAAATAAAATAACCCATGCTGATGGGCTAGAAGTACAGCCAACTGTACTAGAGCTCCTGCCAGCAAGCTTAGCTTAGGGTCTAAGACGTCGTCTCATTACTTGTTGGTCTTGTTTTTTTGAGACAGGATCTCTCTGTTTTTGAGTGTACAGTTCTACACTTATTCTCAGTGGCATTAACCTCAAACCAAAGGAAAAGACTGAGCTGTATTCAGTGGCACATGCTTTAATCACAGCACTTGGGAAGTTGAGGCAAGAGAACTTAGTTCAACACAAGACCCTGTGTCAAGAAAAAATACCCTTTGTGCCAGGCGTATAAGCAAGGTTTCCCAGAGCTGGTGGGATAGACCACCTTCCTTCCCTCCCTTCCTCCTTCCCTCCTGTCCTGGCTGAAGCCTCCACCAAGCCTCACCTCGCATGTCTCTCCCCAGTGGTGTCCATTGAAGACCCCTTTGACCAGGACGACTGGCCGGCGTGGAAGAACTTCACGGCTTCGGCTGGCATCCAGGTGGTCGGGGACGATCTGACCGTGACCAACCCGAAGCGGATCGCCAAGGCCGTGGAGGAACAGGCGTGCAACTGCCTGCTGCTCAAAGTGAACCAGATCGGCTCTGTGACGGAGTCCCTGCAGGCGTGAGTGCCCGAACCTTAGCGGGTGGGACGTGGGGGGGAGAGGACCACAAAGGAGGCTCTGCCGCCACTGCCACCAGCCTGTCCTCTGTCAGGGGCAGGTGCTGGTGTTGAGCCTTCTGCTTAGTGCATGGCTCTGCTCTGGACCACAGTCAGGCCTCTGGGTTGTTTCTGACTTCAGGTGCAAGCTGGCCCAGTCCAACGGTTGGGGTGTGATGGTGTCGCATCGCTCTGGAGAGACGGAGGACACCTTCATCGCCGACTTGGTGGTGGGGCTCTGCACGGGCCAGGTGAGAGCCGTGGGGGCACGTGTCCCCTCGCTGGAAGACCCACAGTGGAGGATGGGACGGGTGCCGTTCTTCCTCAGCCTTCTGGTGGCTCAGCCTGTGAGGAAGGAGGATCACAAGTTCAAGCCCCACCTGGCCAATGTAGTGAGACCAACCACTGCCCTCAGGAAAGTGGGAGCTGATGCCTTGTTCCCTGCACAGCTGGGCTCCCTGTTGTTGGGGTCTTCCTGTGGGATAGCCTCGGCCCCAGGGCCCTCTCCCACAACCTGCACTGTGTCCCCCACAAGTAACATGACCTTTGTCTCCCTCCAGATCAAGACTGGCGCACCCTGCAGATCCGAGCGCCTCGCCAAGTACAACCAGCTCCTGAGGTAAAGAGGCTTTCTGAGCCCCTGGGGGGGGCTGGGGCTGCCCTGGGGTGGGCAGGGCTGCGAGCCGGTTTCATGTGATGCTGCCATCTTGTGGTGGGAGGCAGCGCATAGCCCTGTGCTATGCAGCCATGGGTTCAGAGCTGGTGGGATGGCATCAGTAGACAAGCAGGTTGTAGGGATCCCCTCATGGTGGCCCGTCTCTGGCTCTTGTCACTGGAAAGTCCTGAGCTCTGATGTCACTTGGTCCAGTGGCATCATCCCTGACCCCACCACGTGGGTGGGAGGGCTGCACTAACATCTGACTTTACCCTTTTCTCTCCCTTCACCTAAGAATCGAGGAGGAACTGGGCAGCAAGGCCATGTTTGCCGGCAGGAACTTCAGAAACCCTCTGGCCGAGTAAGCCACAGGCAGGCGAGCCTGAGCTTCCAGCACCTTCTGTCACCATCGGCTGTGTAACCCCTGCCCACAATGTCAGAGCGCAGCGTGAGGCCCCCCCAAGCTGGGGGCTTTGTGTAGTTTGTTCCCTCCTCTACTGCTTCCTTAGAACTTGTGCACAAAACAGGCCCGACCACGGGTACCCTGTTCAGATCCTAGCTCTGTAATCATGTCATTGGCCCCAATCATCGTCACCATGCTTGCCACCTGCTATCTGGAGCCACGTGCGCCTCCAGTGTGATTGCCAAGGTGGCCACAGGCTAGATCCCCAGTGGTTGTACGTGCGAAATAAAAGCCTCAGTGACCCGTGTGCACCGTGTGTGTGTGGAGGTGGGGGGGACCCGGCTGCTGTCCGTCCTTGTGTCTTCATCCCAGCGGGGCCTGCGGCCAGACTGTGAGGGTGTCCCCGAGACAGATGTGAAGAGTCTGATGGCCCCCGTCCCCATAGTTGTCCAAGCCAGGACTCTTGAAAAACATCCTGGAGAAGTAGTGTATTTAAGGGGCGGATATAGTCCTGTATGCCTGTAATAAGACCAGCATCCAGGAGGCTGAGGCGGGGTCAGCTGAGGTGATGATGCCCATCTCAGAAAAACAATGCCCTCGGTGGCAGATAGAGGCTGAGAAGGTCAGAGTTCATCTGACAAGTGCAAAAACAGGTGAAGTATTGGCTTACGTGAATATTTTCTCTCTAAAATTCACTTGAGTATCTGTGTTCATTTTAGCCTTTTCTCTGGAGAGCTAGTTAGGGGACCTTGTGACAAACATGCCCACTGCTCATTTCCCCCAATCCTAAAAGCACAGACAAGCAGAATCACAGGGAGAAACCTTGCATTCTAGGCCGGCCGTGGTGATGCATGCCTGTGATCCTAGCTACTCAAGAGCCTGAGATCTAGTATGAGAAGGTGACACCGTGGTAGAGTGCTTGCCTCACATGCATGAGGCCCTGGGTTCAATTCCTCAGCACCACATAAACAGAAAACGGAAGTGGCAATGTGTCTCAAGTGGTAGAGCAGAGCACTAGCCTTGAACAGAAGAGCTGAGAGACATCAGGCCTAGAGTTTAATCCCCATGACAACAATAAAAAAGATTGGCTCCTGTGGCTCATGCCTGTAATCCTAACTACTCAGGAGGCTGAGATCTGAGGATGGCAGTTCAAAGCCGGCCCAGGCAGGAAGCTCCGTGAGACTTATTTCCAATGAACCACCAGAAAACTGGAAGAGGCGCTGTAGCTCAAGTGGAAGAGCGCTCGCCTTGAGCTGAAGAGCTGAGGGACATGACTGACAAAATTTGTTTTCTGTGAAACCTTGGTCTTGCTTCCAACACTAGCTGACTAGGCTCTACTGAGTCCTACATTGAGGCTTTGTGATCAAAGCTAATACTCTACCATTTGAGTTGCCCCTCTATATCTGACTTATTGGTGGTTAGTTGGAGTCTTAGGCTTTCCTACCTCAGTTGGCTTCCTGAGTAACTAGGATTACAAGTGTGGGCTACCAGTGCCAAACTGATTATAGATTGTTTGCACAGTGCCCCTCCCTAGTAGTGTGCAGCTTTCACTTTTGTCTCTACCACCCCTCAGGTTACTAATTAGTTGATTGCAACTAAAAAAACACTTTCACAGTACCACCTCGGTTTAGTGTTTCAATAATTGATGCCCTACCAAACTGACAACCCTATTGCCATAAATGACTCCATATAACAAGGGCAAAGTCACACCATGTGGCAATGCAACTGCCACCCAATCGCAATTGATACTGCCTATTAAATCCAGGCCACTGGGCAAGTAAGAGACAAGGACCTGTCAGATCCCCTGGGCTGTGCTTCCATTGCTGGCTGCTCTGCATGAACCTTTGTTCAAGGCCTGTGGCAGCAAGACAGCCAACATTGGGCTGGGAAGGTGACTCAGTGGTAGAGTGCTTGCCTTGCATGCATGAGATCCTGGGTTCGATTCCTCAGCAGCACACAAGCAGAAAAAGTTGCAAGTGGGACTATGGCTCAAGTGCTAGCCTTGAAGAGTTGAACAGCACCCAGGCCCCACAACCGACAAAGACAGCCAACATTAATTCCACTTTTCCAAAAAGCCATCAGTGTAGACAGTCCTGGGGTCTGGAACAGCTTCATTAGCACTTGTTAATATTCTCTGCTTCTTTTTTTGGTGGGGCCTGGGCGCTGTCTTCAGCTTGGCTAGTGCTCTACCACTTGAGCCACCGTGCCACTTCTGGTTTTCTAGTGGTTTATTGGAGATAGAGTCTCATGGACTTTCCTGCCTGGGCTGGCTTTGAACCATAATCCTCAGATCTGGGCCTCCTGAGTAGCTAGGATTACAGGCATGAGCCACTGGTGCTTCCTATAAACTGCTATTATACTTTCCCACAGATCACATATTCGTCACTTGTGGTCATCCTACCCAGAAATTCCTGGGCCTCCAGCATTAGAACAAAAGCAAGTTCACTCCACCCCACCCTAGTGTGCTCAGAGTCTCCCCAACAAGCTGAAGAGTTCTTTACCACTCCTGGGGCTTGAACTCAGGGCCTGGGCTCTCTCTGAGCTGCTTTTGCTCAAGACTAGTGCTCTACTATTTGAGCCACAGCGCCACTTCCGGCTTTTTCTGTGTGTGTGGTGCTGAGGAGGTGGGACCCAGGGCTTCATGCATGCAAGACAAGCGCTCTACAACTGAGTCACCTTCCCAGCCCCTGAAGGCATTTTTGTGACTGAAATTCCCCCCATTCTCCCTACAGTGTACGAGTGCAGCTGGAAAATAAGCCAAGGCTGCCAGGTTGTGGACCAGGCAGAGATCAAATGCTAGGCTTGCAGGGAGACAAAAGGCAGCCAGGTGGGCGATGAGGGCCACCAACACTCTCCACAGGGCGGCCCCCCGCTGGGGAGGGGCCCTGCCGGGAGCTGCTTGTTACCAAGCTTTGTGCTGGGTTCTGGGGTGCAGCCAGGTGGGCTGTCCTGAGCATTGGGTCCCAGCTTGGTCCCCCCACAGAAAACCCATTGCTGCCCCAGAGAGCAGGCCCAGGCGCTCAGTCTGGCTCTGGTTCTGTCTGCGTAGCCTGAGGCTGTCCCAGGGGTCGCACGTGTGTTGAACACAATGACTTAGCTCACATTCAGTTTTTCCTCCCAACAAAATGATCAAACAGACCCTGTCATCCTTACCTGTGGGCAAAAAACAAGAGAAAAACCAAGGCAGGTTCTGGGTCTTGTGAACTGCAAATGGGCAGTGGGTCCCAAAGTAGCTCCCTGTGCTTTTGCGAGCTTATCTTAATGTGTGTGCACATGCCAGGCAAAAGTGAGATCTGAATTTGGAGCCAGGGTGCTGTCCCTTAGCTTTTCCAGTTCAAGTTGGGTACTACATCTCCACTTCTGGGTTTTGCCGGTTCATGGGAAATAAGAATTTCATGGTTGTTTCTGCCTGGTCTGGCTATGGACCATGATTTTCAGATCTCAGTCTCTTTAGTAGCTAGGGTTACTGGTGTGAGCCTCCAGTGCCAGGCCTGTGTGTGTATGTGTGTGTGTTTGTATGTATGTATGTGCATGTGTGTGTGTATGTGTATGCATGTGTGTATGTGTGTGTATGTTTTTGTGTGTGTGTGAATAACTGACAGCCAGCAGTTTCCATCACATTGCTCACATTGTAAATTTATTTTACCAAAAACAAATTTCTAAGCTGTCTCCAAAATATACCAAAAAATTCAAAACATCAATATCTGGGTTGGATGTGATTGGAAAGTAAACATCATGAGGGTTACATTCCTAGAAAGGAAGAGCTACCATTGCAGGCCACCTGTCACCTCCCCCATTACCCACCTGCCTGGGCCCCCAAGGCTTTGAGCCTATAAGCATTGCTCCCCAGTCTCCTGAAAGTCCAGCACTTCCCAGTTATCTCTTCTGTCAAAATCTTCTTTCAAGAATAGAGGATTTAGCCAGGAGTCAGTGGCTCACGCCTGTCATCCTAGCTACTCAGGAGCCTGAGATCTGAGGATCCTGGTTCAAAGCCAGCCCAGGCAGGAATGTCTGTGAGACCCTTATCTCCAATAAACCACTCAGAAAACTGGAAGTGGTGCTGTGGCTTAAGTGGTAGAGCGCTAGCCTTGAGCTGAAGAGCTCAGGGACAGCAGCCAGGCCCAGAGTTCAAGCCCCATGACGAACAAAGAAAAAAAAAATAGAGGATTTATGAGCTCAGGTCTCCTAGGGCTGCATTGCTACTGAAGATTAATCCTCCTGCCCCCAACCTTGAACTCTCCAGCTGGTCTAAACCCAGAACTCAGGACAAACACCACCTTGACCAGTTTAGCTCTGGGCCCTACCAGGAGGCCAGCTGGCCACTGGTATTCTGAGGGCTTCCTGCAGGTCTAGCTGAAAATTGAGAGGCCTGTATAATCAAGACTACCCACGGGGACCAGGACTGATAGCAGACTCATTTGCATATGTGACCTAAGACAGTAATTAAAGCCAGGCGCCCCAGGGGTGAGAAGTAAGCACATTAATTCAGGAGCAATTAAAAACCCTCTAATGTCACCAGTGCACAGCCCAACTTGTGAGACTGGTGCACAGGAATGACTTTCACCTTCAGGCTCTTTAATTTGGCCACCAGTCAGTTGCCTGAACTGCTTTTTTGTTTGTTTGTTTTTTGGTGGTATTGGAAATTAAATGCATGGCCTTACACTTGGTTGTAAGTATTCTAATACGTGAGCCATACCTCTAGCTCATTTTTTCTTTCTTTGTCAGTCTTGGAGCTTGAACTCAGGGACTGGGTGCTATCCCTGAGTTCTGCCACTTTGAGCCACCTCTTCCGGTTTTTTGGTGGTTCATTGGAGATAAGAGTCTCATGGGAGGGGGGAGGGGAGATGGGAAGGGATGGGAAGGGGAAACAAAGGAGGAGGCAACAATGATTGATAAGAAATGTACTCATAAGCCCCCTGACTGACCAAAAAAAAAAAAAAATGTACTCATTACCTTGCCCATATAACTGTAACCCCTCTGTATGGTATTTTCACAATAAAAATAAAATAAAATAATAAATAATTTTTTAAAAAAGAGTCTTATGGACTTTCCTGAGTGGGCTGCCTATGAATCAGGGTCCTCAGATCTCAGCTTCCTGAGTAGCTAGGATTACAGACGTGAGCCACCAGCGCCCAGCCATATTGGTTATTTTAAATAGGGTCTCACTTTATGCTCAGGCTAGCTTAAGCTGAGGTCTTCTACTTATGCTTCCCTGTGTTACTGGATGGCAGGCGTGTACCACTATACCTCATCAATGAAATGGAGTCTGAAAGCCAAGCACTGGTGGCTCATGCCTGTAATCCTACC